ACTCATACTATGTTGAATAGGAGGGGTGAGAGTGAACATTCCTGTCTTGTTCCTGTTCTTAAGAAGAGTGCCTCCAGCTTTTGCTCATTCAGTGTGATGTTGGCTGTGTGTTTGTCAGAGATAACTCTGATTATTTTGAAGTATGTTTCTTCAATGCCTAATCTGTTAAGGATTTTTATTATGAAGGAATGTTTAATTTTATCAAAACTTTCTACATCTATTGAGATGATTGTATGATTTTAATTTTTAATATTTTTGAAATGGGTTTTCACTCTGTTGCCCAAGCTAGAGTATAATGACACAATCTCGGCTCACTGCAAGCTCCACCTGCTGAGTTCAAGTCATTCTCCTGCCTCAGCCTTCTGGGTTTCACCATGTTGGCCAGACTGGTCTCAAATTTGTGACCTCAGGTAGTTTGCTCACCTCAGCCTCCCAAAGTTCTGGAATTACATGTGTGAGCCACCGCACCTAGCCAATTGTATAGTTTTTGTTTTAAATTTGGTTTATGTGGTGAATCAAATTTATCAATTTACATATGTTGAACCAATTTTGCATCCCGGAAATAAAGCCTACTTGATTTTGGCAAATTAACTTTTTCTTGTGCCACTGGATTTGGTTTGCTGGTATTTTCCTGAGGATTTTTATGTCTATGTTCATCAGGGATATTGGCCTATAATTTTTTTTTTCATTGTGTCTTTGTCAGGTTTGGATATTAGGGTAATGTTGACTTCATAGAATGATTTAGGAAGAAGTCTCTTCTCTTTCAATTTTTTGGAATAGTTTCATTAGAATTGATCCTAGCTATTCCTTGTATTTCTGGTAGAATTTGGCTATAAATCCAACTAGTTTTTGCTTTTGTTTTTTCTATTGGTTGGTAGGTTTCTTTAAAATTACTGATTTAAATATGGAACTCAATATTGGTCGGTTTAGGGTTTCAATTTCTTCCTGATTCAATCTCGGAAGGTTGTGTTTTTCCAGGAATTTACCCATTTCCTCTAGATTTTCTAGTTTATCTGCATAGAGGCATTCATAACACTCTCAGAGGATCTTTTGTATTTCTGCAGGATTGGTTGTAGTGTTAATTCTGTCATTTCTGATTGTGCTTATTTGTATCTTCTCTCTCTTTATAAAATTTTGTTAATCTAGCTAGCAGTCCAAACTGGTTTTAGCTGACTCACAGAGGACGCATAGTAAGGGTGTTGTGCCCTCTGCTTCACCTTTTAACATCAAATGGCTGAAAACTCCACCCTTGGATCATGCTAACACCACCATTTTTTGAACATGCAACACATGAAGAAGCATGAAACTCAATTGCACAAAGCCATGTTTCTCCTTTCGTTAATATTTATGACTACCCCTAGAACTTATTGAACATGTATACTTAGCTAACTAATTCAGCATAAATTCCTGTCTTATCCTTCCCTCCATGAAAGTGCATGTTCTCAGCTTCTGCTGGATGCTATGCTTCTCAGCCTGAAGGATGGCCAGCTTGCAGCCTGCAGTAATCAGACAGCAGTAATGTCTGATTAATGGACTCCTCTCTGAAGGATGATATGAGAGATGAGATATGTCTACTCTACTATCTCAGTGAACAGGGATAAATTATAGCAGTATATGAATATAAACTCATTTTACTTTTGCATCTCCATTTGCTTCAAATCAGTAAACCCCAATATGAGGAAGAACAGGAAATGCAACCTGTCTTCCTTGGTTGTCTAATTAGCATCCACATATAACAGGCAGAAGAATCTGTTGTATTCATTAGGATATAGCAACAATAAACAGGAGTGGCTCAGGATGATGCATAAACTCTTCCTGTAATTCTTTTAAAGCTAATTTGGTGGGGGATGGGAGGAGAAAAACACCTGTCTTATTTAAACAGAGGTAAAAGAACATAAAGCCTTTTCTGACCATAGGAACCCTTGTGGCACTTATTGTTCTCAACATATAATTTAGCTCTTAATTATATCATGTCATGATATTCAATTCCATGTGTATTACTCACATCTGTCCAAAAAGATTGGAAGCAATTTGAGGAGACAGGTCATGTTTTCTCTATTGTAAGACCCAGGTGCCAAGAAATGCATGCAATGAACTCAATAATTATACTATATATTAGGAATAGCCAAGATATTTTAACTAGTTATATTGAAAAACAGGCTCACTATATTAATTATAAAAACTGAATCTACCTAACATCACATCCAAAGGTGGACTCCACATGTATTGAAGACCTAATGTAAAAGGTAAAACTATAAAGTTAATAAAAAAACATAGTAAAATATTTTTATATCTTAGAAGGGAAGGGCTTTTTAAAGAAAAATATCAGAATACAATCATAGGCAAAACAGTGATAAAAATGGTTACTTCCAAGCTACAGATTTCTGTTTCATAAAGGACAACATGGTCAATATTAGTAGAAGACAGAATGGATAAGTGTAGTGTCTACAACCAACACACTAGTAATATCTAGAAAATATAAAGAACTTCTGCAAAGCAATACAAATAAGGCAAAAAAGCAAGTTTAACAGAAAAACAGGCAAAGAATATGTGTAGTCAATTTATAGAAATGAAAGTCCAAAAGGTTAATAATTATATGTAACAATGCACAAACTCATTAGCAACTAGAAATATGCAAATTAAATTACAAAAACCGTACTACTTTATACCTATTAGGGTGGCAAAAATTAGAAAGCCAAATAATATACCCAGTGCTGTGGACTGAATGTTCGTGTTCCCTTGAAATTTATATTTTGAGATCCTAGCTCCCAAAGTGATGATAGTAGGAGATGGGGCCTTTGGAGGGTAGTTAGGTCATGAGGGTGGAGTTCTCATGAAAGTCATTAGTGTCCTTACAAAAGAAAGTTCTCTTATCACTTCTGCCATGAGGAACACAGCAAGGTGGTGTTCCCTGAATCGGGAAGCAGTCCCTCACCAGACATTTGCTGGAGCCTTGATCATCTTGATCTTGAAAACTTCAGCCTCTACAACTATGAAAAATCAGTGTTTGTTGTTTAAGATACCCAGCCTACGGTATTTTTGTTTGTAGTCACTTAAACATACTAAGACACTAAGTGTTGGTAAGATGTGGGGACATAGAAATGCTCATCCATTGTAGATGGGAGTGCACACTGATTCAGCCATTTTGAAGAGCAAAGCTGTACCAATTGGTCAAATTAAGTATAGGTAATTCAATGACCTAGTAATTCTGCTTCCAGAAGTACTTGCATAGATCTATACGGGGATAAGTAGGAGTCTGTTTAGTGTGGCATTTCTTGGCATGATAAGCAGGTAAACTATTCTGGATACGCACTATGAATTAGCAGTTAACAGCAATAAATTAAAGGTATATTTAATAACATAGATTTTTTTAAAGTTCTCAGTAAAAAGAGATGAAACAAAAGTGATTTATAACATACAAGTTAAAAGCATGTGCATACAAAACAACAAAACATATTTTTGTAAGAATGAATACAAGCAAAAGAATACCACATGAAACGTAAAGTGGTTGCCTACAAGGGGGAGGCTAAGGGCTTATGCTATAGGGTTAAAGAAGGATAAATAAATAATGACAACCAGAGAAGGGCCTTGCAGGTACCCATGATGATAATAAGTTCTTAATTAACTTAGCCTAGTCTTTGAAGGAACACATGCTTAACTAATACTTAAAAGTCCACTTTTAAATACAGTTTCTGTTCAACATGCACCTCCATATTTCTCTCACTTCTTTTAAGACCTATTGCATTCCTGTTGATTTACTTCAGTAAAGACAGAATTTCTTAGTTAACTTACAACAACAGTAACAGTAACAGCAGTAATGTTGGCTATAAAACATAAATCAAACAAATTTCAAAATTTCCCAGTAAATTATAACATTTTCCATCTTTCAAAGAATGTGTTTATCTTTTTAACTAAGGCAAGTTAAGAGTTTTCTTTTTTTACATTGAGGAGGTTATGTGGAGTCACTTAGGAGTAGAGGAATAGAGGAGGTATTTGGGTGTATAGGTGCAGGCTCCCAGTTCATTCTAGCCTAACTCAAGAATTGATTGCAAATGCTCTTTTGTAAGATGCTCTGCATGTGAAAGAATGAAGAATCTATAGCAATCTGTAGACATTAATTATTGGTTGGGAAGGATGAGACCATAAAATTTAAAAATTGTCATGATTTAATGTTAACTGAAGATAGAGATTATAGACTCTATGATATTATTGTAAATATGATGCCATTGTTTACTATGGACAAGGAGCAAATGGTGACATGAAAAAATGACAAATGATTTGAGAAAGAAAATGTCTTAAAAATGGTTCTTTGACTAAAACCAATATATTTGTCATTTCTTTCTTTTTAAAATAAATCTCTGATTCTGTGCTTCCTTATTAGAAAAAAATTTGAACATAATTTTTGGGTGAGAGTTCATGGGCATCCTGAGTGGAATGATTGATTATCCAACTGAGTGTGCTTTTTTCTCTCGGGGTCAGTCTTTACTTTAGCTTTAATAAAATAATTAGCATTTGACTTGATTGTTACACAACAAGTCTGGGTTTTTGTCTTTATCAATATATTTGCAAGACAAAATGAACATAAATTCTGAAAATACTCAAAATCTTAAAATGTGGTCTTACAAAAAAGTATGGGGTCTTATAAAAACTAGTTTTGGTATGATTAGGGTTTTCTATTGGGAAACATTGTGGTAGAATTGGGGAAGAAATGGGCTAGGATATCTCAGCCTCAATTCTCTCACCTTTAATTAAGGTGGTTGAATTAGAAAGAGTGGCTTATCAGAATCACCCATTTGTTAGACAGGCAGATTCCCTTACTCCCCTCTTGTCACCTGCCCATCTATTCAGACTCTGATTAAGCAGTTCTGGGATGGGGCCTAGCAATCTACAAGATGATTCTAATGGGAGTGGTTTGAAAATCATGATTTTAGAAATAGAGAAATGATCCACCAAATCCCTTCCACTTGCATTATTTTATGATAAAAATTTACCTGACTCACCAAATTTTCAGTCGTCTCCCGTAAGTCCTTAGATTGGTATATGTTGTTTTGTCCAAAATTGCTATTGATCTGTGGAACTAAAATTTTAAAGGAGCCACGATAGTACTCCATTTTTTGGTCTGCAATGGAAATGAAAAGTAGGAAACTAAATGGTTTGGACAAAGATTTCAGAACCCAACCACAATGGGGCTAATATAAAGTCTTGAATATTTGACTGAGCTTCTTTGTAATGGAGTTTTGTTTAAAAAATAATAATGTTTTATGTTAATTATAATTGCTACCATTTACTGAGTTCTTACTATATGCCAGGCAATGTCTGTGCACTTTTCATGTATTAGCTCATTTAACCCTCATACCAGCTCTATAAGATCAGCATTACCTTCATTTTACAGATGAGGAAAGTAAGGCACAGAGGCATTAAGTAACTTTTTCTATAACTAGTAGGTGGCCTATCCAAATTTTAAACCCAGGCAGTCTAACTGTAGAGCTTGAACATTTCATTGCTACATTTCCCCTTGCTGAGTTGAAATGTGTACCACTGTACACGCTAGTGGAAGTAGAGGTAAGTGAACGTCCTTGTAAACTTTGATTTGTAACAAGAGAGCCAGGCACACTAAGAAAAAACTGAAAAGAAAGTGTAGAGAAGAGCTCTCTGAGATTGAAGGTGAGACTAGTGGGTAACAGGGATAAATCTACTAGGAAATGTAAAAAAAGAAAGCAGTTGAGAGTCCTGAGGAATTTGGTAATCTGAGGAGTAAGGCCAAGAGAGGGTAAGAAAGCTACAGAGTTAAAGACACAAAACAACCTAAATCTTTGAGAAGCCTGGCTCAGGGAAGAGGCTCTGGGTTTCTAGACAACAAACCAAGTAAAGAAAGAGGGATCTCAGTAGCATATGTCTGAAGTGGGAAATCTCTGGACCTTGTAAGACTTTTTTAGATTTCCTGATTACTTATCCATGTAATCCACACTGTTTTCAAACCTTACTTTCATTGTAAAGTGGCTTTTATGCAACCAAATAAAATGATCTGAGAATCTTTTGCCAATGGTATAAACTACAGCTGGGGTTGTCATATAAGGCCCATTACTATGACCTTAAGACCTTTAAGGCTCCAAATAGAGTCTTTGCTCCCGCATTGAATCTGTGGAAGTTGACAAGATAAGACCATTAAAGTGAGCAGCCTGAGTTATTTGTTTTATCACATACATCCATGTGAGAGTAACATTGTAGAGATTTGTCAACAAATGTAAATGCCTTGTGTTCTTCCCAGAAAGAGACTCAATGTAAAAAGAGAATCTTGAAGTGCATTATTTGTGTAATTACAAATATGTTAGTCGATAAAAATACAATCCCTGTATATTGTTTTGGAAAGAGTAATATTTTTTCTCAAAAAATAAATGATAATATCATGTCATACTTACAGGTTTTCAATCATTTTGAAATATCTTATTTTAGTAGACATGTGCTTTTCTTTTGCCTTAGAAATGTCAGACAGAAAATGATAGTTCATGAGTGAAAGAGCCAATTTTAATAACTAATTTATCATAGCTTTTTATTTTAATATATGTGATTACTTGTTTATTATAATTACTAGTAAGTTTCAGACAATGACAATTTTTTATCTTTTTGTGTAAATTCTCAAAATAATTCTGATTGAGAACTCCAAGGAAATTAGAAATCTGTCTACTTTGCTCAAAGCTGTATCCTGAGTATCCAGAAAAGTACTCGCATATAATGAGCCTTTAGTACTTACTTGTTGATTAGATGACTGAAAAAATTAAAAATACTCTGACTGTGGAAATTTGCAGGTAAGTGTGCAGTTTTTTAGATAAAATTAAATTAACATATAAGTAAATGAAACTTTGCAGAAAAAAAATCAAATAGAGTGAAATCTTTAATTTTACTTACCAAATACTAGGAAGTGAACCAGAAGACCTATGGTTACCGCCACCACTGTCAGGGACAACACAATGAGAAGGGCAATCATCCATGGCTTCAGATTCCTACTTCGGGTGCCAAATCCTACTGTCCTGCAAAAAGGAAGGGTGCACTTGTTACTTTCAGATTGTAATGCCTGCAGGTTTTCCTGCTTTCCTTAGAAAAGTCCAGGTTGCTCTAGCCTGCCTTTCCCTGCAAGAAGTCATTTGTCTTTAATTTTGTTCAAGGTCATATTGGCCTGAGAAGATGTGTTAAAAAAAAAAACACACACATCAGGATCTGGGAATCCCAGTGTTTCTCCTGGTTTCTATTCTAGAGGCATTTGGTGGTCTCTTTGTAGTGGTCAGGAATGGTTTCTCTTAGTGTCATGGTCCAAGGTGGTACACATGCTTGAAAAAAGACCTTTCTGCCTTTCTCCAGCACTTTCTTATCTCTTTTATCTATCTATCCTTTTAGAGTTCACAGAGTGATTTTAAATCTAGTATCTTATTTATTTTTTATCTTTTATTTTTAACTATTATGGAAATGTTCAGACATAAAAAATTAGGAAGAATAGTGTAATGAACATCTATCTATCTTTCTATATATATATATATCATGTTGTTATATCAATTGTTAACACTTTTACTCTATTTAGCTCATTCATTTTTTTCTGATGCTGTGTTTTAATGTAAAATAAGACATCATGACTTTTTACCAAATCATTATTATAAACAATTAGGATATATCCAACATAACCGTGATACTATTAACACTCTTGAAAAGTTTAATGATATTTCTGCCTTATCATCAAAACCTAGTCCATCTTCAAATTCCCTCCATTAGTTTCCTTATAATTACAAATGGTTTGTAAAAATAATCAAGGAAATAATCGAGGACCATGTAGTACACTTGGTTGTTATGCCTTTTTAATCTCTTTTAATCTAAAAGGATCCTGCTTCTTTTTTGGTTTTTAATGACATTGACTGCTGAAGAGATCAGGCTAATCGTACTTTAGAACATCTTACGTTCTGGACTTGTCTGAAAGCTTTCCTGTGGTATTATTTAACTTGTTCTTCTGTATCCCTCATTTCCTATAAGTTGGATTACCTTTAGATTTTCTTTAGATCTAAAGCCTTGATTAGATTTTGGTTAAATTTATTTGGCAAGAATCCTTCAAAGGTGGCATTGTGTATTTTGTATTGCATCACACCAGCACCTATGATCGGCAACAGTACTTATCACATTCAATCAAGTATTCGTTTCCATGCATGTTGACTTACAGATAACTTCTCAATGAGCTGTGTTAGTCTTGTTCCTCTTTTTACCACTATGACCCAATAAGGCACCTGATACAGAGTAGGAATCGTATAAATCTATGAGAGTCAGTCAGGAATGATACCAACATTACACAGGAAAAATAACAGAAGATGAGAGAGGGGTTATCTGTTTAAGGGCCCAGGTTGTCTAACTCTCATGCTTGTTTTCTAAAACTTGCTATTATAGTGAATTTTATTTATACATTTTATCAGAGTTTATCTCTTCATGTATACATATTGATAGCCTAGATTTTTTTTTTTTTAGAAACAGAGGATATTTTTCATATTTTTATCACACGATTGGTTGATTTATAAAGTTTTTATTTTGAATATAAAACAGTATTTTTATATATAAATGTCAGGATAAAAGGTAAAACTGTTTGGACATAAAATAGTTAAGAAGATAATAGCTTTGGCATAAGTAATATAATTAATCAAGCAATGTAGTGGAATTTGAAAGACCTGAATTGTATTGAGTAAATATTGACCATGTGCGCACTGACTGATGAAAAATAATGTAGAGAACTGGCTGTGGAAAGGCAGCAGGTCCTCTGATAGACACGCACTAACATGCTTGAATGTAACAACAAACAGAAGTCCCATGGAACGTGACATTATTTAACCTCCTAAATGACTTAAAACATAAATTCATAAGTGAAGGAGACCTTAAAGACTGTTTAGCATAATAGAATCACTTTCCAAATGACAAAAGTGAAGCCCAGTGATGATTAAGTAATTTTTCCAGTATAATAGAACTAGTAGTCATCTCAAACTCAGGTCTTCTAACTTCTGGGACACAAATTTATTCTCAGTGCCTCTCCATTGATTTCATTCAAATTATTGAAAAAATTTATCATCATTTTTCTATTAATCTATTCATTCACTCATACATTTTCAGTTTGTTCCATGCTTTGTTTTCTCATAGAATCTTGTCAATATGTTTCCAAGTCATTTGAAAAGAAAAAAAGACCAAAGGAGAAAAGTTAAAACTCAAGGAAATTTATCTATTTTCCCATTAGAGCACAGTTGCTCTAAGTAAGATAAATAGAGAAAGGATGAAAGAATCACATCTCCTACCACCAAGACATAATGTCACACTGCTAGGAATTGAACCATGGGAACAGAGCTGAAGATTGGTTCCATACCCATTGACACACTGATCAAATGTCGTGGAAGTCATATTTTCAAATTCCACAGAACAAGCTGTGAGCATCTGAGAGAAAATGGTGGCCAACAGACTATGGTGATAAGTTGTTAGAGTGTTTCTCCTTTTGAGGAAACATTTAGATAATGAAGCAGTTGTACACTGCCAGATTACAAAAGCTGCAGAAGCCATAGGTTAAAGCTACAGCTACTAAATCCTATCTGAATATATTTTCAACTTACTGACCACTTTTATGAATATAAACAAGGAATACATAAACACAAAAATGTATCACCACCAAGTGCAGTGGCTCATGCTTGTAATCCCAGCACTTTGGGAGGCTGAGGTGGACAGATCACTTGAGGTCAGGAGTTCAAGACCCTCCTGATCAATGTGGTGAAACTTTGTCTCTACTAAAAATACAAATATTAGCTAGGTGTGGTGGTGTGCTTCTATAATCCCAGCTATTTGGGAGACTGAGGCACCAGAATTGCTTGAACCGGGAAGGCGGAGGTTGTAGTGAGCTGAGATAGCACCACTGTACTCCAGGCTGGGTGACAGAGCAAGACTCCATCTCAAAAAGAAGAAAAAAAATATCATTACCTTCTTGTTATGGAGAAGTCATATTAGTCATTGTGGAATATGACTTCAGATTTGAAAAGAAATACACTTGGTAAAGCCTTTTGGAATCTAACCTTACAGATCTTAAAGATGCACCATTTTGCTCTATATTTTTTCATGCTTTGCTTGTGCTCATAAAACAAACACAGATGTATTAATTTTCTATTGCTTTGTAACAAATTTCGCAGCTCAGAGCAACACCTATTTATTAGCTCATAGCTCTGTATGTGGCATGGATGGGTTTCTGCTCAGGATCTCACATGGCTGAAATCAAGGAGGTTGATTGGCTCCTTTCTCATCTGAAATTTGTGATCCTCTTCCAAGCTTATTTAGGTTTTATGCAGAACTCAATTCCTTAAAGCTAAACTGAGGTCTCTGGTCTCTTGCTGGCTGTGAATCAGAGGCTTCTCTCGGCTCTCAGATGCTATCCATTACTTCCCACTTGGCCATCTCCATCTTCAAAGCCAGCAGTGGAGAATCTTCCTCACATCAAATCTCTCTCACACTTTGAATCTCTCTTCTGGGAAAGCCCAGACTCTTTAAAAATGTCATCTGATTAGGGTAGGCTCATCAAGGATGCTATACCATCTTCAAACCAATTGATTTGGGACCTTTATTACATCTACAAAATCTCCTCACAGCAGCACCTAGATTAGTGTTTGATTGAACAATTGGGAGAAAATTTATGCACACCCAAAGGGTGTGAATCTTGGGGGCCTTCTTAGAATTCTGCCTACTAAAAGTGAAAATACTATGACTTTCAGGAAAATGAAAGAAAGAACCCTATAGCCTTCAAAGAAAGTATGTAAGATTTAAATATTCTTTAATTTTTGTAGGGGTAGTGAGGGAGAACTATTTGATGAAAAGGGAATTTTATGTTAAGCATAGAATTAAAAATAACTAAGGGATATTTTACTGAAGTAATAATTTTGGAAACACAAAGTAAAATCTTAAAAATTAAAATGGGAAGAAGGCTAAAAGTAATCCCTGATTATGACTACTTGGCCCTCTGCAGTCTTTGGGGATTTCAAGGTGGCTAAGAAGGAGCCCTGGAGAGGTAGAAGAGCCTTGGTGGGCCAAGGCAAAGGCAGGTGTCACCTTTGGAGGTCAGCTGGCCAAAGAAGAGATGGGGCAGACCCCTCTGGGACAAAGACCTCCAATGGATGTGGGTCCCCTGAGTACATCCTTATTGACAGTAGCACATTATCCTTACTCAGAGTGGCACAATCTTTAATTTCCATGAAATCCAATTAGACCAATCCAAATCCGTTAGACCTTCATCCAGTTTGATTATTTGGTATTTAGAAGGATGTAGTCATGTCAGGTTTTTTCTAAAGAAGTTGTCAATGAAAATATGGTGATAATTTTAATAAGTTTGTGACTTCGCTTTCTGCAATCTTGCAGACTAAAAGACACATTCACTGAAAAATATATAGAGAAGTATAGATTGTTAATGATCGCAGCTGGGATTTGCAGTTTTTTAGAAACAAAGCTCTAAGCTGGTAACTTCTGTGTATGTGAGCTCAAAGATAACTTGAGTAAAGACAAAAACATTGCAAACCCTTTACTTTTCCTAGAAAAGCCTTCCCTGAAGGCAGCTACTTTGGCCACTCCAAGTTTAACCACATTTTTATCTCTTAGCTCCAAGTCTCTTCTTTTTGGGGGACCTTTTTTTGTAGATACATATAACCAGTGTATAAATGTAGATGCATGTGACTATTACACAAATGCCAATTTACAGACGGGACATTTTCCCACAAGTCTTCATAAAGAAGTACAAAATACACTATCTGATTTTAAAGGGGATTATTGGTCAGCTTTCCAGGCCAAACTACAAGACTACTTAACTCCTAATGTAACCGAACAAAGGTCCTAAGCTACTAAATTCCATGGAGCCGTTTCACCCAGAAAGCTTTGCCTCGCTTTCCCTAGCTTAGTACCTATTCCTGAAAGAAAGTTCTTATAGAAGCAAAGCATAACTCTCCTGTTATTAAAGGAAATTGTGTTTCTCTTTTAGAGACTGAACTTA